TTGTGTATTTCCGTGAACCGACTTTCTGCCACGTGGCACTGATTACGTATGATTTTAAAAATACTCTCTGTTTTTGTAAAGGAACACATAACAAATTGCCTGTGATGTGTGAGAGTTTAACACACGAGCAAATAGTTTATTTGAATTTCCTAATTCGTATTTATTAATTTCCCGGAGTTTATGATGCCTACTAGGGGATGGAGGAGTTAAAATTGGATCGCATGATAAATTCCGACTTGTAAAGAACAAATAAAACGTGAAGTGGAGTGATCAGAACCACTGAACAGATGTCTTAATCTCATTTGGTCTAATCAACAGGATGAAATTTCCAACCCCGGGATCTTACAGATAGAGTGAAACTAAAATACTTGATCAGACTGTTTCATTTTGTCTAAATACGGCGTAGCTAAGCCTACCTTTACAATCAGGTGGAGGACACCAAATCTCGCTCCTCTCAGCACTCGCCTCTGGGACTATGACTCAGTCAAGCCAACGATTGATACTCTCCTGGAAAAAGGAAATCTGTATGTCAACAGATATACGTATGTATTTTGTTCCTTTAAGATGAGATATGTTATTAACATGTTTTCATCCTATTTGTGAGCACATAGATAAGGCGAATATTGCGAAATGTGAACAGTTTATTTAGCACAAAAGAGGTAAAAAATGAATAGGAGCGTAATATTTGATAAACGCGTTGAGTGACTATAAACGTGGATGTTAGAGTATACGGTTCACAACTAATGTCAAGGCAGAGTAACAATATTCCACTGATATCACAACTCTTTTCTTTCGATGTGTATTTTCAGAACAACCTAAACATGTGGACAACTTTGCCACCTCTGAACTCAAATTCCAATTTTAACGTTTGTGGACAAATTGAAGAACGGAACAGAACTATTTCTGGTACACGTGAACGGAAGCCGTTCATCGGTTCACAGTGGATTTAGATTTGGAACGAGATTAAAATCAAACACAATCAACTGGCCTTGCATTCCAACGAGTGTGTGCGTCTAATCAATTCAGTGTGTAATGCTGATAGAATTAAGCTTCCACCACTTTTCTCCACTCACAAAACAATCCATGCACGTCTGACTTATGTGACATGAATTGAACAAAATAATTCTCTTTTCCGTCTTATTCCCCCCCACCCCCAACCCACACACATGGGAAAGCGGAGCTTTCCTGATATCTTGCCTAGATTCGCTTCAATTCCTAAGTTATCGAATATTCCGTCCAGACAAACTATGAGCTCTCTTATTCGGCTAATGACCTCGAACAAGCACACGTTCACCATAGCAGTCCTCTTCACAGACCGGTGGATGCTCACCTGTGCTGACAGTACCAAATCAATCTTTTCGGATGGCATAACCAGTCTGAGAGATGCAAAATAAGTTGACAATATAAGTAGTGCTCACCTAAAAGTTTCTCTTTTTTATAATTTTCTCCCAATCACCCCTAATTTGTTGAGGTTTATGTAGTTTGCTACGTCTATCCCTGGGGCTTGGGCCATAAACTCCCATCTACTACTCATCTCTCGAAAAACTCCTCTACACTTTGATCAAACAGGTGTTGTAATAAATGTATGCAACTCAAGTCAGTAAGTCCCGGACATCAGGGGAAGGAAGATTCGATCTATTAATATCAGTTTATTGGATGGTCAAAAACCATTGTGGTTTGAAAACATTGTTGAATCACCTTTGCTGGTCAAGGATAATCAGAGAAAAGAATGAAAAGTAATAACGTATTAGTCACTCAGATTGAGATCGCTTGATCGATGAGAGTTACAACCAAACGACCATGCATGCCTTGTGATGTATCAACCGGGCAAGTGTTAGTTGACTGTGGTTACCTGCTCATGACACTATTTTGTATTGGCTTTTTCATTCTTTGCAAAGAGAAATTGTAAAAGGGGATTGTCAATCGTTAGAGTAGAAGTTCGGAAAACTGGTTAAATTTGTCGTGCTGGAACAGAACGTTGCCATGGTGAAGTGGTTGGTTAACTGAACGAGAAGCATTCTGTCAGTAACGCCGGGCAAATTATTCATAAAAAAATTACTTGAAGTAATTTTTTCATACGCATTATCGTACAGTGAAATACATTGAAGTGAAGTTCACTGATCGCTGCCAAACTCCCGATGCATACAAAGTTACTGAGAATGTGTGGAGGTAGACAGACCAGACAGGAGCGGTAGCTGCAATTGAGGCCCGGTGTGATAGGTGACCAGTAAGCGTGCGCAAAAAGTGATTTAACCAGCGAAACTTGTTGAGCTGAATTTGATGTGATAGTGAACCTTTCCTCAATACGTTACAAAAAATACGACGACTTACCTCTAGGTTACTCAACCCATTCACTCCATATCAGCTGCGCCAAACAACGTAAGCATCACACGTTAATAGCTCTTCACTGATGAATGTCTTTTACACATGGATTCAGTCTCTCAACCGGAAAGCATAACTGAATGAACGGTGGCACAAAATATACATTTCAACTTCAGTGAAACGTCTTGTACACACCAAAGGTATTTTAATCCTGTGTACGTTGCTCGAGATTTGGAAATGTGAGCAGCTATCTCCTTTGCTGCGCTACTTATATTGTTCAATTAACTGTCTAGGTTGGAGAAACAATCAACCATAACTAATTCACTTAGTTTCAAAATGGAACTAATCCACTCCCAGTCTTATACCACTACTCTGGCTTCAAAGGTGTAAAGCCCATACGGGAAGGAAGCAAAAGAACTTGTTATCCTGTGAAGTATGCCGTGAGTATCCTCCATACATTTAAAGAGACAGCAGAAGTCGTCAGCGTATTCCGGGCAAGACAGCTATTCTTCAGTTACCCATTCAATCCCAAAATTTCGAAGACCACTTGATGCGTTCTTCAATATTTCGTCTTGCACAGGAGTGAACAAAAACAATGGCGAAATCGGGTATCAAATTAGAAAAACACAAAGATGTTTAAAAGTATTAGTATTGAAAGAGTTGCTGGAAGAAACTTGTGCATTCTGAGGTTATTTAGCTGTCCCAGTGCACATGCGCTAAGTGCACTTGATGAGCTAATCAGCTCTGTTGCTCTGTTCCGCATTTGCTTTGCACTAAGTGCAATTAAACGCTATGGCACTTGCGCCATTTTTTGATGTATCTCTATATCTATACGACCAACGGAGATACAAGACGTTCTAAACCATCCTTCCTCCTCGATCTATTTGATCGAGGAGTTGTATGATGACTAACGCCATTCAGTTATACTCATTGCTGAACGTTGGTGAATGGCGCCTTACTTTATTGTTTCTGTCCATTTTTGCTAAATCATAAACTTTTTGACAGTCAAACATGGCAGTTTGCAGGTTTGGAGTTACAATGCTTGAAACACCTGCGCCCGTCGGGTTGATGTAGATTTGAACGCTACAGTCAATCATTTTCGTCGCTGCACACCAGACCAATTTTCGACCGGGTTAGCCAAAAACACAGGGGTTTGTCAGCCAATGATTACCGGAAAGATTCAGTGTGTTGTGTGCACCGTAGATGTGATAAGTAATTGTTGCCTTTGCTGTCTCTCGTGTAAATAAAATCTCGCTTTCGAAATGCAGTTACTCATGAGTAGCTAAAAAATCAACATACTGGATCCCATTCCTGTAGCGGAATGTATAAGTTTTCGAAAAATTTGATTGGTCATTGCTAGCCACTAGTCACTATCCTGTAAGGTTTACCTTTCAGTGGTTTGCAGATTGTACATGAAACAGGGATGATTGGGAGTAGACTTAGTGGAATACAGAAGAATTCATGTGCGAGGATCCATCCAATCACACATTTTTCGTACACAAAGCCAGTCAAATTTCTTACAGAAACCTTCATGTTTGCAGGCGGCATCATATAAAAATGGGAGATAAATCTATTAGTAATCGGCTTTGTTACAATTAGTCAAATTACCTAATTATGTCGTTGCAGAATTCGTCCTCTTCAGGCTGTAAACATTAACAGTAGGAGCAACACGATAAAGTTTACGAATATAAATAAACCAACCAACTCGGAGTACCTACGGCCTATGTAGCCAATATCTTAAATAATCTAAACGTTCATTTACGATGATAAAGCTATCACGAACTGCTGAAGTAACATCGCGCTGTAGAACAAGCATCTTCGTTCTGATTCAAAGTGCACTTATTTGTATTTCAGTCATGCGCAATAAGCACAAAGTACACAAGCGTAAATATTACAGAAGCATAGATTTCTTTTGGGCCTATGAACTCCCGTTCCCGTTCAAGGATAGTTTTGATCACCAAAAGCGTGTATTTGAAAAATTTTTATATTACGTACGACCATAACATGGTTGTTTAGGAAATTGACATAAAAAACGCGGTGCAATAGTCCTGTTTTAACAGTGTTTTCTAGGCTAGGAGAACCGTAGATGATGACGTACATTGTATATCAGGATGGACGAAATAGAGTATAAACCAATTGAGTCGATAAACGAGTACCATTATTAGGACTGTTGCGAACACATAATGCAGAAAATTGAATAACCCCCTTTCCTCGAAAATGAACGGACTGAGGGGAGAAAGTGTTAGTTAGGACCAGTGAAGAGCCCTGGAACAGGTTTGTGTGACAAAACTAAAGAGGAGTAAAAAAATACGGGAATTTGCCACGTGTAGAAAAATGTGAGTTGTGGGGGGGATGGTGGTGAACTGGTCGAGGAAATCCCCTGAGGATCTGAGCATCAAAAGGAAGTGAATGTGTCACCAATTAACACAAGGTTAGGTAGGACAGGAGAACAAACCGAAGTGGGTCGGTTAGGATGAATGAACGGACCAGGGTTGGATGATGGTAGGACAATGGGTGGTTGAGAGAATGTCGAGATCGCGTGTGAAAGATGATCAAGTTCCAATGTGAACAACACGTGACACTAGCGCGTACAAATGATACTGTATGAAATTGTGCCATACAAAAGAGTGGGTCATGCATTATAAAAACATTATTCTGATTCCTTGACCCCCTTCCCGTTAAACCTCACTTGGTCTATGAAACACTCTCTTGACTGTTGATTCGCGTTCTTCGGCGGTCATCGGCAGTCGCGTAGGCTGGGAACCTCTTCTTGCAGCGGGCACAGCGTAGTCGGATGCTTCGTTTCGAGCACCATCCGGATGATGAACCCCAGTTGGAGCAGATCGGAGCAAGGCCATCGGATAGATCTCCGGAGCACTTGCATCGCGGCTGACTGGTTTCAATGCAGGAATCGAACCGTCTTGATCCGGTCCATAAGGAGCGGATGGTAGTGGTCTTTGTCGCACTGGACCACCGTCACCCTGTTCAAGTTGGGCACTCATAAATCCATGATGATTTTTATCATTAATATCGATTGGCAGATCATTCGATAGATGTTGACTTCTCCCAGACCCAGACAAGTACGATTGCATGTATTTGGGCATACGAGGCACAATGGGAGGACCACGAAAATCTTTGTCCATATATTGCTTCTTGTAATCTGCGAACAGACAGCATACTATTTCCACCGTGATCAGATCTCCGGCATTCATAGATATCATGCGCAAGATAAAATGACCATCTTGACGCAAGAATTCTGCAATGAATCGATCCACAAGTAGTGCCATTTTCGGATCATCCCGATCGTAAACATCTGCAATTTTGAGAAAACGACGTACGAAATGCCGTTGTCGTTTCTTCAGTCCCATTCTGACCAACCAGAGCGGAATACTGATCAGAGTGATACACATGACCGCACCGAGGAAAAAGAAAAGAAACACATAGATCTTCTCATTAAGCATATTGATCGGCAAAACACACTGGGCAAATAGGCGATTGCTTGCGCCAACGTGTTGAAGTGTGTGCCGACACATGCCCACGCGGGGAAAGACTTGAGTCTCAGTCCACGGTTTTCCCTGAATAATGTCTGACAATACACGGAAACCGAAAAACAGATAACCTTCACGTGCGTCGAACCGCAAAAATGTGTACATCATGTATAGTTGGGCAACACCCACTGCGGCGTATAACAGTTTGACAAACAGGTATACATAAACCAGATTGTTCCCGTGTCGTTTACCAGGAATCAGGGATGAGCGACGAAAATCGGCGGCCAGACCTTCTTGTGCGGTACGATACTCACGTCGACTGAATAGGAGCAGTTCCAGTGTGCGTGCAATGTGCTGGACCATTTTTTGTCGTTTCTCTCCATCTTCTTTGGTGATCGCATTGGCCGTGCGAACTAAATTTTGCAGGTCTGTGCCAGTGCGATTGTACGTGAAAATACTCCACATGATACGTGGTAAGTAATACAGAATGGCCTGGAGACCAAGTACCAATGGCACCCATTGATAGTAATCTGTTCGGAATTGAAACGGGGTTAAAAAGTGAACCAATCAATATATGATCAAACAATAATGGTTCAGTATGGCAATCGAGAAAAACGCAGATAGATCAAAGTCACTGCTAAGTTAGAAACAATAGCACAACAAAATTAGGGAAATATTCCAACAAAGTGAAACAGGATTTTCTCGTTATAAGTTTGAAAAGAGCGGCCAGTATAGCAATACTGCACAATTTATGTGCTGGACGGTTTCACTGGATCTCAACTGGTGGCTACTGGAGACAAATACAATGTTTACTTCGGATGTAGAAAAGAGTTGGAAAACGAACAAACGTGGATGGGGAAGGATCAATCACCAAGGCAAAGCTAGGGTAATGAACAAGTCTGTTTACAAAATTCGTTTCCATCTATTGATTGCAGTCGCCTAGGCGGGCTAGACTTTTCTGGAGTTAATAAAATTACTCTATGTGCTTCCTCTCAACCCATGAGGTGTTACGTCATCAACTAATGTCTGATAATCGGAGTTCGGTGTTTTGTATGCACGGTCCATACCGGTTACTGGCTTTGAGGACCTTGGCATTGCAACCTTGAGTTAAACCCAAACTGAAACGCGTTCTAAAACCCGATTGCGTAATGGTCTTCCTGTTCTACCTATACGGGTATCACCGCACATCAATTGGGGTTGAATAGATTGTTTTAGTTGGTTCACAAATGTGGGCGTTTTTTAACCGGGGGAAGGATGTGAGCGAAATCGCCCAGGCCATAAATGGTGCTATACTGGCTTATCTCTTTTCAATATTGATTTTTCTAGCCATTCATTGTTGTTATGAGGATCCAAGAAGTCATATTGTGTGGTGTCTCTGTTGTAGGCGCTGTTTGCTTAGATAACAAAATTGGAGAACTTCACTTATGAAGACAGAGGGTTTTCCCCCTGTAGAAGGAAGCTGCCGAACTTTTCCACAACTTTATTACTATGCAGGACGTATCGTACATTTGCATTGATATCCTTTGCATGATTGAACAAGCAGGTACATGGTGGTCACACCACAGGATTGAACACGTGGTCCATTAAAACCACCGATAAAGCCTAAGAAAATAATTAGTGGAACGAAAGCCGTGTTTTAGTCAATTCTTATGTATA